TTAGATCTTATAATAATATCTTTCGAAGAGGTCTAGACCTAAATAGTCCGTATATAGTCTCTTTTATAATCTAAGAACGTAATAATATTTAATAAAACTAGGAAGGCTCTAATAAATCTTTCATTACGGTATCCTAGGAGATCGGGTTATATAACCGCTTATTCTATATATTATATAGAGAAATTCTTAGCCTTTAATTAGTCGAGCTAATTGAATTCGGCGAATTATCTACGATTCCGTTATATATAATTTCTTTATTAGATCTCGCTCATCGCGTTATATATCGTCTCGATCCTTCTATAAAAGATTCGTAAGTCTTAATTCGAGAATATTTCGCTTATATATATTCGTCTTATTAAGAAGCTAAGCGCTTTCCTAGAGTATCTACGTAAGCTTTATTTTAGGGTTAGTTTACATGAATTCCTTTTAAATCTATAGTATTCGAGATATAAAAATTATCTTCGAAGTCGTTTAGAGCAGCGTAATTAAATCTCGATTTAACTACGTAGATAATACTTAATCTCGCTACTAATAGCGTAGAATTAAAGTCTCGTATACTATAAAACTATTTAAACGTAACTTCTAAATTCTTATCGATCTCTCGCGTAACTTATTTTAATCTTTCTATCTTTATCTCTCTCGTAGAAATTAATAAAATAAGTAAAGAGCGATCTTAATCTTAGAACTTTCTAAGAGTAATTCTATATTCTAAATTAAGATACAACGCTTCTATAGCTTTTTAGTATACTCACTAAGAGTTATCTCGTAGTACGTATCCCGGCTAATTATAGAGAAAGTAATTTTCTTTAAAATTACTTAAGTTTAAATCTCGTCGACTAAACTACTCACCGTAGTACTACGGCTTCTCTTCGAATTAAACTAAACGATTCTAGAACTACTAACCGCGCGAGGACTAAATCGCTTTCTAAGAAACGCTCTTTAATATCTTAATTAGTCGAGTTAGAAAGTCTAAAGTAATAGCGTCTCGTATCTAGATCGATAGTATTAATACTTTCATTAAATAAGTTAATTTTTCCACCGATTAATTATTACTCTTAGAGATAGAAGATCGATTTACTAGCGATAAAGTATTTTTATCGAACTTCGTTTTACCATCCGTGCGGTCGTCACGACGATATTATTCTTACGATTCTTTCTTTCGAACGACTAAGAGTCGAGTCTTTCTTTTATACGCTAATTCTTAAAACTTTTCGTCGAGTACTTCTTACGTAAACTTCTTATTTTTATTATTAATATTCTATAGCTCTTTTATTTAATTTTAGTATTTCTAAAAGTTCGAATTCTTCGACTTTCGATTTATTAAATTCTATTTCTTTCGAATCTTATCTATATAAGTCTTTAGTAATCTAAATAAAAGAAGACAATAGTAAGTATAGTTAATCTCGACTTCGGTTTTAATTAAATAAATTATAGCCTTACGAAATTAACGAAGATATAGCTCTAAGCTTTAAGATTTCTTTCGTCGATACTTCGCGAGTATCTAAAGATATTAAATACTTATTATTCACTATACTTCGTCTTAATCTTTATATTTATCTAAGATCTTCTCTTTAAACTTTTTCTAATTTATTACGTTATACTTAGCGAGCTCTTTATAATATTCTTTCTCTACTTTAAATATAAAGCGAATAGATCTACGAATATATTCTCCGCTTAATATAATTTAGTTATTGTGGAATATCGCCCTCTAAAGGTTTATATTAAA